GCCAGCCAGCCGCACCATGATATACCATGACAATAACCAGGCTAGGTTAGATAAACCTACCGCCCCCGAAATCATCCCCCACGATTGCCGGGCTTCTAAGGCTACGGTTGTGCCTATGGCCCATGCTAGGAGACACCGTATTTGACTTCGGCGGTAGCGGCTTACTAAATGATGGCGAGGCCTGCGGGTCGCGGAATCTAGGTGATAAGGGGGCAGTCTCGGAGCGCTTCGGCGGCATTATAATTACATTATGGCTACCACTGCTACCACCATAATGATTAAGGTGATTAAATTCGTGGCGCAGCGGCGCATGTCCTAGAGTCGGCGTCATTGGCCGGCTGAAATTAAAAGACCGAATCCCAAACGGCGATTCTGATCGCGTACCAATCATTACGTTACCTCCCCTGGCCATATCCGCTAACATGCGAGGCGGTGTCTCAAGCGGGGATCCAACGCGCGAGGAGTAATCATCGAACGAGGAGGAGATCGGCGAGGGCATCGGCCACATCGTGGAATCTGGGGTTGGAACGTTGCGGTTACCTAGGCGTGGCGGGATCAGTGGCTCGTCTAACTCGGCCTCTTCTTCGTCTCCGTCGGCAAGGAATAGTTCCATTTCTTGTAGACGCGACCGCGAGCCCGCGTTCTTGAGCGGTGGTGGTGCTAGTGGTGCTTCGATGGGCGTGATGCATGGGCTTCCTGCCAGCGGTCCCGTGCGCGGCATTAGAGGGCTGTCGGGGGAGGTCGGCCGGTCATAAATGGAACCCATGCTGTCCTGAGACATTCTCCTGGCCCGGGACTGAGATCGGGATTGAGATCGGGACTGTGGTTGAGACGACGGCTGAGACGACGGCTGAATCTCGTACTCGTCTGCGGCGGGTCTGCGCACATTTCTAGTGTTTGGCCTACGCGCCCCGACAGCAGCAGGTGGCGGGCCATTTCTATCCCTCGGCATCCTACGCGGACTCTGCATCGGCGACTGAGGTCCCTGATTCATGGCGAACGGTGGTGGATAAGTGCCGGCGCGATCGGGGGTTCTCGGGCGAGAGTCGAGGTTCAACGGCGGAGGCCGCATGAGCTTGCGCATCTCGGGACCGTTCGATGTCCTTGGACGCTGTATTGGTTCTTCCACGCGCGGTCTCGTGAGCTCCTCCACTCGCATCTCAAGGCTTCGTCTCTGGGACAGGATGGGGGTTGAAAAGGAAGTTACTGTGTCGCGTCTTGCCCCGACTGACTGGATATGGATACCGGGATCGCCCAAGATATTCGCTAGGCCGCCCTGAACTCGATCTTCGCTACCACGGGGAGTCGCTATAGGCGAAGGGATCGACGCTGGTCCAAAATGCCCGCGATTTGGCATATCCCTGACATTTTGTACCTCTTTAAGAGTAGTCGGTCCGTTCCTGTGACTGCCTCTGCTTGACGAACGGAACATGTCGTCCCTAGGAAATGGCGGCCGTCCCAAGACCGGCGTTCCACCTCTAATCGACTGCGGAGGGGATGGCGGCTTACTTGGCGATTGACTTCTCTGTGGCGACTCGGCAGAGTGTGGACCAGGGCTTGGCCTTCTTATCCGCAGAGGTACTGGAGGCAATGATGGATCCTCCTCCCTAGGTAAGGGGGCCGTATCATTAGGAATTTCCAGTTTAAGTTGATGTTTGCTCAGCGACGGTAAGGGCGCTGATGCCAAGGACGGCGGTGGACCTGTGGTAGAATGCATTTCGAGGGGATTCATCCAGACTGTCTGTTGCTGCTGAACAGGAGTAGCTGGCCGTGAAGGGTTTCGCATAGGAACTGGAGGCACTATGTCCTGAGTCGGAGTGTTTTGCCAACCACTACCACTTCCCAAGATGGGATTCGACGAATGTTGCTTTAGAGCCGGAAAACTTGGCTGAGGAAGTTCGGATATGTTCGTACCAACTACATTGGCCATGTCTGCGCCGTAGGGAGATGGTTTCGCCTGCATAGCCGTGATTTTGACCGAATGAGACGTGTTGGGACGGGATACCGAGTAGACGTTGACACTATAAGGTGCGGCTTTCCCATCCTCCCTCATGGGAAATTCCTCATCTAGAGGCTCTCTAACAAGTTTCCTACGAACCTGCGTTGGTGAAGCCTCTTCATCTTCTCGGCTTCTGTATATTGTTAGTTAGATGTACTACGCAAGACTTATTCCGACTCACTTCTTTTTCTCGCCGCCGAGCTTAAACCCAAAGAATGAGACCATCGTTTCCTTTCACACAATTATACATGCGCTGCTTTCCACCTCTAATATTACCGTACTCTCACTCTTACACACACGCGCGCGCGCACACACTCTCTCCCTAACAACCAAGACGGTAATGACTGTACAGAATAGTAGGAAGCAAGAAAAAAGTTTAACTATGTGCAGAATTCAGAAGGGATATGCTCGGACCGCAGATTCGGAACCAGGAGCGCGCGACAGGGACGTGTTGATACAGCGGGGTTGAAACGAGGATGCTAGCAGTACATGTCGATCCTAATAGCGACCAAGAGCTCAGCGTCACAATGCAATCGACGTTGTATGTTAGGATGCCATGCGCGATCTCCGAAACTTTGATAAATCTGGAAGCGGCTGGCTTCTATTTGCGGAAAATAGTAAGGGTAAGGTAAGAATAAGCTCGTAGGCTTGTAATATGGTCCTAGGAGGGATTCGTGATAATGTTTTTTTTTTCTCCTGCAATTCCTGAATTGTCACGCGGCGGGTGGTGTGAGGTAGTATTTCTTCGAAGTCGCCAAGCCAGAAGTCTACTTTCTGATGACACACAACGGTTCTCCTGTTCCTGACAGAGCAGTTAGGTAAAGAAGGGATAGAAACTTGTGAAGTAAACTTGGGTAGTTAGTGAGAATTAGAAGTGGCGTAAGGCGGCATTGATATGATCACGACGGGGCGAATTACACATTATGCATGGGTAACCGCAGGGCGAATAACAACCTACGTTCTATGAGTGAACTATGGTTCGAATTATGAGAATTGATGTCTTGATTCCATGTATCGTGAGGGCACAGGACCCCCAAAAAGGAAAAGGGATACAAGGGGATACGGCTCCATAAAATTCAGGGGAACAACTTGACAGGGAATAGACAACCCTTGGTTGTCTTGGCAGGGGGCCGCTTGCGCTAGAATTATACCGATAGTGTTCTTTAGACTCCGCACATGCTTTTCTGCGAACAGTGAACCATTAGAGATTTTCATCAGTATGAACAAAGTGAGCGAAGTCTTCAAGATTCCATGTGGATGAAGTTATGTATATAAAATGAGAATAAATTAGTCATCCTATTATAGCATATTATCTCCTACCTAACGCATGAGTTCTTAGGACTTATCGGCAAGGCCGCCTTTAACTAATTTACAGCCCTTCGTATGGCATCTTTGTTTATATTAGGCTATTAGCTAAAAAGGCGTTATGGTAATTTACCCACTCCATATTCCATACGAATGAAGAATAAAGATAGAAACCTTTCAACTCGGGATGTTACCTCGAAGACTTATCTCTACCTTGTCTTATCTAAAGATGTTATTGGTAGGTTTGAATTTATCAACAACGGTTGAGAAATATCAAACGGGGATGGGGGACATATGTATTCCGTACGTATATTGTAGCTCGGAGCCATCCGGATCCTCACGTTTAATAGCCCTGCTGAAACCGTCTAACCAATACTAGCGACTCGAAACTTCAAACCATGATGATTCTAAAGGGAGTATTCCGTAGTTCGAATAGCGCGTGCGGTTAAACTCTTCATCTAGCCCCCGACGCTCAAAACTCATAATTATGTGCTTGTAAAATATATGTGACAACCTCGTATTCCTATTTTTGATTCGTTGGCTCGCCTCGTCCCGACCGGACGACTTAGGTGAAACAAACCACACTATCACCACCAATACAGACGAGCCAATAGTCCGTCTCCGAGCTCATCCCCTTGCATCACAGCCGCAGAACTGCATAGACGAGGCAATCAGCACACCCAGCTTCTCGTACAAATTGCCGTATGTAGTTAAGCGATAGCATTGCCGATGCTAGTCCCTGCCTATAAAGAGGTCAAGTTCGCCGGCGCGTGTCCTAATAAGCAGTCCGACCGCCAGTCTGGGTATTTCCAAATATCATCATATACCTCTTCTTTAAAAAGGGTTAGCTTGGCGTGAGAAGCACTAATATCTAGTGTAGCCGTTGTATCCATGTCTCGGTGGCAATAGCGTGTGTGATGAGACAATATGTGGCCTGCCTACTGTTATTGTAATATACCGGTATCTTGGAAGAGAAGCGCCACTTTGTATCTTACTCATATGAGATTAGAAAGTCTTTGTAAAAACTATCTATCCGGCTATAGAATATCGATTTTGATTCATAAATGTATCAGGAACCGGATTTCTTCAGGAAAATGTTAAATGACACCGGAGTTCTCACGGACTGATGCTGCCGTTATACTAAGCCTGAATGGCAACCAAAAACTTCATACGCGGTCCTCATATTTGATCTATTAGCACATATGACGATACACAACTATGTAACTTAGATATATATGATGACCAGACTTATAGATCGTAGATTAGGTAGGTTAGCTCTGCAAAATATTATTAGTTCTAATTCTTGCCAACACATCTTACTACAGCTCCTGAGGTTATCAAGTTGAAAATGTTTATCTCACTACTACCGGCTACCACTGAATATAATCACTCGCCGGGAGAGAGAAAGATGCGCCAAGGTACCCTCTATAACCTAGCCTCAGTTTTAAACAATTATGGCATTGAGAAGTGATGAATAGATTTTACCGTTTTACTGACAGTCTCGTAGGATGCGGCCTTCCTAGAAGTAATATCCCCTAGGAGAACCTTTTCCAAAGTATTAGGAGGCACTATTCGTCGACTGTAAACTCTCTTGCTCCGACACACAGCAGGAAAACAACATAATCCAATGCCTAGGTACCTAACCTAGGTAGATACGTAACCTAATCGCTCCATAGAGGTACGTAGCAAACTAATAATCCCACTCAGTTGTATTAATATCGCCTTCAACTCGTATCATTCACACATCGATGCTTATATATATCTCTACACTAAAGAGCAACAAAAACCCACCTCATCTCTATCTCAGAATACTAGTGGGTATATATTGTCGCATCTATACACGGCCGCCCGCCCGTCCGTCTTTATAGATAATAATCTATACATAACCCACAACCGACAATTCACACATCAAAACCATAAGCCCATAGCGAAATCTTGTCACCACCTCATATGCGTAGGTATATATCACACTAAATAACCAAAGGCGAACTCATAGCGCAGGCTCATCGCCCCCGCCCTTATCCTCCGCCTTGACACTGTCGTCCACCGTAACAGGCTTCTCCTTCGTAGGCTGCAGTGGCTCATAGCTCATCTTCGCGTTATCTTGCTCTCGTGCTTCCACGTCCTTTCCCTCATCTTTCTGGCCTTCCTCTCGATCCAATCTCTCAGCGCTCTTCGCCGGAACCGTCTCGCCGTCGTCCACGAGCTGTGCTGCATCACTAGGCGCAGTGCTCTCCTTAATGCCTTCCTTAGCATGATCCGGTTCGCGCGTTCCAACAGTCGTTGTGCCCTCTCCCTGCTTCGCGACGTTAGCCTCGAATTTGTCGTCGCCGCCCTCGGAGATGCCCAACTTATTCTCCATATCCCTAGCCAGCTGATCAAGCTCGTCATGGATCTCCTCCTCCTTCTCTGTCTTGGATAATTGTCGGTTTGCCTCCTTTTCTCCGACTACGGCTCTCCATGTCGCCTCCAGTTCGTCGCCCCATCCCAGCTCATCCGCCAGCTTCCGGATCCCGGAGTCGCAGTCCCCTAGGACTAAGACGTCGTCTGCACGCGAGCCCATATCGCCTACACGATCGCGGTTGATAAGTACGCGCGGCACACCTTCACGTGCCCGTTGCGGTAGACCGGCGAACGGATGTACCAGTAAGCTGGTGCCCATGACAAGCATTAGGTCAGCGGTGTTAGGCACCGAGATGTTATTATAAAACGTCTCAGGGAGCTGCTCGCCAAAGAAGACGATGTCGGGCTTGACGAGGCCCCCACAGTCCTTTCGGATACATCGCGGAGCCTCGCCACGCTTGACGTGCTCGCGCATCAGGTCATCAGGGAACTCGGTACGGCAGTCGATACAGCGCTGCTTAGCAAAACTGCCGTGAGCCTCAACGATTTTCTCGGAAGGCACACCAGCAACACGCTCTAAGCAATCTATGTTCTGGGTGAAAAGCATGCGGAGAAGACCCTTTTTAGCAAGTAGGGCGATGAATGCATGTGAGACTGTCGGGCTAAAGTTTCCCGGGTAAAGCTCCTTCGCTAGTAGGTAGAAGGGCTCCGGGTTAGTGCGGAAGAAGTCGATCTCGAAGACAGCCTCCGGATGCGGGAGGTTGAAGCGAGAAAGATTGTGATACAGCCCCGTCTTAGGGGAGCGAAAGTCGGGTACTGCATCGTGATAAGTAAGTGTGATATGTGATAAGGCTGGCTACGTAGAACTTGGGTAGATACGATATATAAATTGCATAGTGAGAAGAAAAAATGTAAAAAGAATGGACGGACTCACTTCCAGCCGCGGTAGAGATACCGGCGCCGGTCATGACAACGATATTTTTTGCGCCGCCATCCTTGATGAGCTGTGCGACAGCACGGAGACTGCGCTCCGATAATGTCTCTGGCGGCGTGTCCGGGTCGATGAGATGCGAAGACTCCTGACCCATCTTTCTTGACCGCGGGTACAGTTTTTGGCTTTTTTGATGGCGGGGTCTCTTTCTGCGACCTATGTTGAGTAGTGGACAAAAAAGAAATTGAATGATATTGTTAATGGGGTATGTAAGGCTGAGAGCTAAAAGATTAATCCTTGATGGTTTGAAGAATAGTAAAATGTACCTAAAGTTGAAGATTGAACGAATTGGAAGTTACATTATTTTTTATTAGAAACAGCGTACCTATGTACCTACCTACTACAGATGTACATAAGGTACATACCTGTTAGTGATTTCCATCCATATCGTATGGCGGGGTCCATGTTATCTAATCGTATGACGCCGCGAGATGTGTTGCCCTAAATGAATTTAGACAACTCCAGTCATTTAGCTATGTTTAATTCAAAAATTATTGCCATTGCATAGTATACAGAATTATATATTTGCATAGCTACGACACTCCCGAACCTTGACTTGAGCTATCGAACTCCTAGGTAAAACTCCTAGGTAAAACTCCTAGGTAAGAGTCAACCAACACCCGGAGCCCGAACTTGGAGTATCTCTAAGGGGCCTATCCTTCTATGTACAAAAAGTACATTGGACTTCCAACGAGTATCGATCATATTGAGCGGTCTTCGCCGTGACAAACCTCATCGTGACACAATATAGTCGGTCTCGCACTCGGTCGGGATGTTCAGGCAATAGCTGAAGCAATGACTGAGACACGCAAAGCTAATACACTTCTACCTTTACGCCGGACCATCGCTCAAGCTAATTTTTTCTTGCTTCCCCCTTTCCCGCATATCGCACATTATATAATACAAGTGTACAAGTGGTTGGATGCCGAATGACTACTTTTATCATCTTGCCCATTCTACCGTCTCTAGCGCCATCATGACAAGCACTAATGTTGAAGGGAGAATCCTAGAAACCGTTAATACTTTGACCTCATGAAATTTAGCATGATATATGACTTACCAGATAACGTAGCTCTGGAACAGGATCTTTGACATGACTCCTTCGTATACCTCGTTGATCTGACAGATCTGTGCCAGCTGTAAAGCACTCGGCGCACCCGTGAGCAGAAAGCAGACGATAATGAATATTGGGTCATCCAGTATGCTAACGGGGACGTATTTGGCGAAGAGCGCTAGAATAGGTGCCATGATGAGGGTAGGGAGTAACATGCGGCTAATGAGCGAGGCTACAAGGAGGCGTTTTCCAATCTGTTGTTCTTCGGGGTCGCTAATCTTCTGGGCTTGCGTGTTTCGAGCTAGGTTGGCACCTAGCACCACCAGAATAAGAGGTACGGCGACACCGCCACTCTGAGATACTGCTCTGGTTACGCTGTTGTTGATGAATGTCCCTTCTTGAAAGAATAGTCGCTGCAGATCAGGCACCGAAGCCACGATGATGGCAATAAGCATAGCCCACAGTGGTGGGTTCATGAATTCCCACAAGAAGTTGTAAACTCGGAGCCACCATCCCCATACCCTAGCCAGACCATCCTGGATCGGATTGGGTAGACCTTTGTATGCGCGTGTAGAAAGCTGAACGATGCGTTGCTTAGTAGACGTAGCAGCCTTCTTGATTCCGAGACGCGCGCGCACATAGCATCCCTTAACTCCACTTGGAATGTCCGTGTCACTCAAGTCTCGCATACGAGGAAACAATGTCATGTCGCCGGGCCCGGTTGTTACGGAGTGACCGTTGGGGGAATTAGTACCACTGCTATACCCCTTTGCTGTCCGTTTTCTTGGCGCGGCAGTTTCGTCATCGGAATCGGTGGGCGATGCTACCGATGTCCCAGCTACTGGAGTTCGACCGGCCGGTTCGTATACGTCCCCGTCGTCTGAGTTGTCTGAGTCGTTGCGGTCATCATTCTCGGTAACATTTCCGTCAAGACCTGGAATCAAAACTTCGTCTCGAGGCACTTCGTCTCTATATCTGCCCTCTTCTACCGTCTCATCCTGGTATTCTTCGTACTTGTTCTTGGGCGCTAGCAAAATGTGATATCCCCAGCTCCATCTGACCAATTGCCCAAGCTGCTGAAATATCAAGAGATATAAAATACCGCGTGCGGCTACTTCATCATCGTTGTCGCCTGGTATCCTGTCCCAATGGAGCCCCTTTAGAGTTTGCGAGAGCGAAATGACGAGGGAAATTGGTAGCGAGTTTGAATTTCCAAATACACCCATAGCCGTAACAAAATTGGCCGGGCGCTTCGAAAACCGGAATGCTTTCGAGACGCATATGGATACTAAGTAAGATATGCTGGTTTGGATGATAAAGATGAAAGGTATAACTGCAAGGTCGATAAGTTTGTCGGCGTTGAGCTGTGATGCTAGTTTGGTGAAAACTGTCTATCTGTTAGTATTGTTATTACCAAAAGAACAGGCCCGACCATATGCGCATACTTAGGCATGGCGTAAATAGCATGACGTTGAGATTCGCTAGAAACTTCTGCTTGTCGGCGTCGAAATGTCCCAATCTTGCGATAATATATCCGGGCAAGCTGACACAGACGACCTCCAGCACAGCCTCAAAGACCAGTAAGATCAAGTGGTCAATGGAAGGATGGGAGTCGTGAGTGTTTTCTATTGCCATCGTCGGCATGCCGGGAGCCCAGTTTACTAAAGCATTGTTGACCCGGAAGGAGGTTGGCCTTGCGCTTGATAGGTCTATCATGTTGCTTGACTTGAGAGATCTAGATCGACTAAGGACAGAGTGTGTTACTGTTGCCGTTGGTCTTACTATTGGCAAACACTGGTAGTTAAACTCGTAATCCTACGACCAAACAGAAACACCGGGATTCAACTTTCGATGGATGATTTCTCTTGGAATACGTTGATCAGCCTCTTGATCTCCGGCACGAGATTGTAGGTAATTATATGACGACTTTGTCTAGAAATCTAGTGCTGGCTGTTCAGACCAGCTGCAGAGCCGTCAAGATGTGACGCGATAAAGTTCGTCAGAAATACGAGGTGAAGAAAAAAGAAGGTTGGGTAAGGTTGAAAGAAAAGCACCTAAGATGATGAGGAAATAAAGGAGAAGGGAATAATTAAACGGCAACTTGACCGAAGCTGCTTTTTCTTTATTGGCAGCAGTGCCCAGAAGAACTAATTGAGTGAATTAGAAACAAGAAAATAAAAAAGGAAAAGGCGAAGGAGCTCAAGCTCCGAAGGTTACTGTTAAAGTACTTGCTGATCTTAGCCTGCGCCCTGAGATCTCGAACGAGATAAGTCCCAATAAAGTTACCAGTGAAACATTGAAGCGCATACCTTAACGTTGACTAGCGTGTGTACCTAGGTAGGCAGGTAACATAGTACCTAATCGCCGTATGTAATACATGTACCTCTTCAAGGCTGGCTAAAGCCGCCCGGTGCATGGCCGGGTTGCAGCTGTGCGGCAAGACCTGCAGGTCCACTGTGTGAAACAATTTCGGAGGGATCTTTTCCGCTAATTGATTGGCCTTTACAGAACATCAAAACAGCCCCCCTCAGGCCCTCAGGGTCTCGTCGTTGCACGTGTGGGGGTTAAATGGCTAGAGTAGTAATCCGTAGAGAATAAAACGGTCTTACCGCATAGACACAGATTGGAGACCTCATTTACAGATTCTGGAGCAACTATAACCGTATGCTATAACGCTTTTTATTTCGGTTATGTACTACCATCGTATATTAATACCGTCGTTAGATATCTAATCATATCAATTAGAAAAAAATATGCCTTCTTTGTTGTTTTGTTATCAGTGACAGATATATGTATCGTGATAATGATGCGATTAGCGCGTAACTAGTACGAATGCCCAGTCTGCCCAGTCTGCCCAGTCTGCCAGCTAAAAGCTACTACCTATCACTTAGTGTATTAGTGTGGCTATGATTTCGCCCCAGTACGCCAGGGCGCAATAATGACGACTCTAGCCAAGAATGCCTACTCGGTACATTGCTTGCAGAGGCTACCGTATCTGCTTGACCGGTGACTTGAAGGAATGCAACCATCCGTCCGCTAATCGCTCCCAACCGTTTAACTTAGTCGTCTTCTAGTAGGTACTAGAAGTAACGAAGGATTCATCAAGTCACCGACCGAGGCGCATGTAGAACTTATACAAAGTTGTCTAACATGATCTTGTATTTTAACCGTCTTGGGATATGCTTACTTTAGGTAAGCTATTTTATTTAGTTAAGCTAAAATACTTAACGATATTACCCGCAACACGCTTCAAATGGTACGATATGGCTGTCGAACTACATACGATGACGTCTTTTTTGGACTCTGGGCATCGGAGAGGTTGACTGAATAGTACCCGAATATAGCCACGGGCAGCAAAGGCCAGTAAAGCCAACACATCAACCACACAATGAACGACGCAAATGTTACCGCATAGTAAGTCTTAGGTAGACCAAGATCTTGAAAGGTCGGTCTTATGGCCGGTCTTATGGCTACATCTCCGATCCTCCAGTCTACCATAAACAATGCAACCTGTCAAGAGTAGGACCGGAATTCCTGCTTGCTTGCCTACATATCAGCTATATCTGCCTACAGATAAGTAAGGCAGTGTTGTATTTTTGGGGGGTGATTGGGTTGAAGTGATGACGATTGTGGCGATGACGTTATTCGACCTTATCAGTTTCTACCTAGGTATTCACTGCCTTACGCAAGTGATGGCATGCAGGGGTACGTAATAGGTACCTGAATATGTGGCTTGAGGGGATTACATAATGCTCCAACACGAGTTTATGAATTCCATCAACTACATCCAAGAGGTAATCCATAGTATTGACGTACATTAGTCCCCTACATGCAGCTAAAATTTCCTTGGCTAGAAGCTTCAATGTTCTAATGGCTCTCTCTATATCCCCTACCTTAATATTGTAGGTCGTAGTCGTTGCTCAATCAATAATGTGCGCCTCACTAGCGAGAATGGCTTACATCGCGTTGGAATTCTATGCAGCCCGAGATCTGCGTACGTTGCATTACCATTTTGACAGCATCGTTTGCGGGGTGGCTAGTTATTATAAAGGGAAAGATCACCGGGTTTTATCGGCGTTGGTATTGGTTTACGAGTTAGTCGTGATGTATTGCGGCATTGGGTACTCAAATCATTCCTTGGTAACCTGGCTGCATCTCCAAATTGGCTCGTGATAATTATAATGCTCCCCCACCCAAATCATGCTTCGATATTTTCCAACCGCAGTCCAACCGGTAGTTTATCTTATTCGAGCCTCGCGCTTCTTCAGACCGCCCCGTATATATGACGTCAATGATTTATTTTTCCTTCTCGTCGCTAGCATCGTTTAAGCATCATGCCATAATCTCGTAGCGTGCGGGTACGTTGTTGTTTAGATTAATGACGGCGGTCATATTATTGATAAATATTTAGGATGTAGGTTAGAGAGGAAAAGGAAGCAAATGGATCGAGTTGACGAGAATTCCATCTCTGATGATCTGCGGCTAGAATAGGCCCATCATCTTTTATCATTGTTTCGTACTTATTATTTAATCCTATCGGAGTTGTTTGATTGGATGAATCTGTTAAAGAAGCTGTAAGCTATGGCCACGTGAAAGACCATAGCAGGTTAATCAGCATTTCTGAAACTAGAAACGCGGGGCAACCTTTTGCAACCTTCACAAGCTAACCACTAAAAATCTACAGCGCCGTTACTACTGTCTCCATCATTAAATCATCCCTCTCCAACTATCCAACTTTTTTTTTTTTAAAAAAAAAAACCCGAACAAAAATTTAAAGCATCTAAACAAGGTCGATTACCAAATCCCTAAACCCCATTGTGTCCAAGGTCTTGGTTTTGAGGGTCCAAGGAAGAGAAGACACGTCTAAAAGGTTCCACAACCCACAATCCTACAAACTTCTTTGTCAACAAGCCTCGGCCGCTTCGTATTTCGTACGTTCGTTCTTAGCAAAAAAAAAAAAAAAAAAAAAAAAAAACCTAATTATCCCACAGACACATACATATCTCATACATACATCCCTCTCGCTACTATCTCTTACATACTAGTTATCACCACTCCATACTATCTACACCCTCTCTGTCACTCTCACTCTCACTCTTACTCTTTTCCCCCAAGACCCTTAAGGTACCCATACGGAAAGATTAGCCGCTGTTACATACAACCAAGAGTTTAACAGCTCATGAATATCACAATTGGGCAGCTTGAGCTAGTGTCTCGGATTTGACTAGGTTCGTGCAGCCCTATCTGTGCTTTGCTTCGGGTTGTCAGACGAATAACTTTGGTTGTCCGATATGGAACCCAATCGCTCACTACCCTCCCACCTTTATTACCTTACCTTACCATGTCTACCCGAAGAGTCCGGCATGAGCTCCGATTTCGTGGACAAGACTATAGACCGCTAATGAAAAAAATAACTATATTGTAGAACGACCCAAGACCCCTGTGCCGACGAATCGGTGTTGCGCCTTTGCCACTTTTATGTAGAATTTTTTTTCTCGATCTTTTAGACGCCCAACCTGACCTGCGTTTTCGGTCGCCGAGCTGCCCCATCGTCATCTTTTTTTTATTAAACGCCGGTTTGCGCTATTCCCCGCCGACCAGCATACCAATCCCACCAGACCGACTTCTACTCCGGTACCAACAATAGATAAACTTTATCAAGAGCTACTACTCGGTGATGATAGTAGAGGGCGCACCCCTAGATACCTTCTTTCCTTTACCCTAAAACCTCTCTTCATCATGGTTGGCATACATGACGATCCGAATTCGGTGCCCGCAACGCCTGATGAGCTGATCGATAGGGATGGCATGGGCAGCCCCGGCTCACCTAGCTCTATTAACTCTTCAGAAGCAAGTACACCTCTCGAGACGCCCAACGAAATTAACTCCGAGGCACCTAAGAGAATGCCGTCGTTGCGCTCCGTTTCCGATCCCCAAAACCCGGGTCATCCAATGTCTGCTTCCTCTACTCACCTAGGCGTTTTGTCTAATGCAAGGCGCCCCGGCGCTGCTACGCATATGTCGAGTGGACGCCTACCTGAAGACCTTAACGCAAAGATGCGAGCTTTCCACCTGTCGCGTCAGGGTAGCTCTCCTCTGAATTCACAGCAGGCCACCCCACCCAGCGGGCCCTCCCCAGGCGGTCCAGTGATAGCCGGCCTACCTGGACGCCTTCAAATGCCTGGAGGTCTTCAGAGACCCGGCGCGCCCTCGTTTCCAAAATCAGCCCCTTCGGTACCCTCGATGCCCCCAGCAGGTGGTGGTTTGGCAGGCAAGAGGCGGTTTGGTTTTAAGCTTGGGGATATGGGCGGAGCTCCGCCTGCTTCTCCCGTATCCGGCGGTGTCAATGCCGGCCCCCAAGCGATGCCCGTTCAAAACGGGAATGCCCACATGTCACAAATGAAGCAATTCGAGGAGTACATCGACTCTGAAAAAGGATACCTGACATTTAAGGGTAAAGCGATTATTACCAATAAGGGAGTCAACTTCTCGGACGGGTCCGTGTTTAGAATATCGCTTGACGAAGTAGAGAAGCTTGATGAGCTAGGGAAAGGTAATTATGGCACAGTTTACAAGGTGAGGCATACGAAACCGAGGGTTCCGCGCTTCGGTCCTGGCCTTTCTGGATTCAAATCTGCTTCCTTGCCAGGTGTTCCTACGGGCACGCAAGACAAGGTGGACACCGAGGCTAAAGTTGGGTCTACTACCGGTATGGTTATGGCTATGAAAGAGATACGCCTAGAGTTGGACGAGGCAAAGTTGACAACCATATTGAAGGAATTGGTAATCTTGCACGAATGCGCGTCCCCATACATTATCGAATTTTTCGGGGCTTTCTTTCAAGAAAGCGCAGTGTATATGTGTCTCGAATATATGGATGGAGGTTCTATCGACAAACTCTACTCGGGAGGAATCCCGGAAAATGTGCTTCGTAAAATTACGTACTGCACTGTAACGGGTCTCAAAGAGCTGAAGGATAAGCACAACATCATCCACCGCGACGTCAAGCCCACGAATATCCTCATAAACACCCGAGGGCAAGTAAAAATCTGCGACTTTGGTGTAAGTGGTAATCTGGTGGCAAGCATTGCCAAAACCAACATCGGATGTCAAAGTTACATGGCACCCGAGCGAATCTCTGGCGGAGCATTTATGCAAGCTGGCGCGGGAGATGGCACATATAGCGTACAAAGCGACATATGGAGTTTAGGCCTGACAATCATCGAATGTGGTATGGGGAAATACCCCTATCCTCCAGAAGTATCCTCAACAATCTTCAGCCAGCTCAGCGTAAGTAAATAATCGGGCTCGAGTCTGCAAATTTTAGATAACCCCTAACGTTATTCCGTAGGCAATCGTCGAAGGAGATCCTCCCGATTTACCAGATCGATATTCCGAAGCTGCGCGAACATTCGTTCACGGCTGTCTCAACAAGGTGCCTAAGCTTAGGCCGACATATCAGGCACTACTAGCTTCCGAGTGGATTGAAGACTTGACGAAGCCGGAGACCATCGCAGAAGAAGATGAGGAGGTAGACGAGAATGATGTTAGCGCCGAAGCAGTTGCCGGCGCGGCTGAGAAATTAGACCTCAGCCATTCAAGCACCGATGACGCGGAAGTCGCCGCATGGGTTAATGGAGTATTGGAAAAGAAAGAAAGCGAACAGTATGGCGAGGCAGAAGGGCAACCGGCGCTCCACCACGCTCCTCTTGATGCCGTGAGCCCGTTAGCCAGTCCACGGATTGGGAAATAGAAATGGCGTGGTACTTTGCGAAGGCAATTCCCATTAGATCACAAAAAGCGAAGGGTAGGATTTTCTCGCGATATGGTGGAGCAGGCCCTCCGCGATCTTCCCTCACGATTACTTCGAGAACATAGCATTATTCGGCGTACAAACTTGGTTCAACACACATAGCACAGCCAGGGGCGGCATCACTGTCTCAATATTTTATCATCTCACGTCTTGTTCTCCTTCCGCAAAAGGGTCTTTTAGGGGTTTTCGATCATCGAAACGGCATTTTGGACGAAGCGAGGAGTCCCTGTATACGTATTCGGGATAAGGAAGGGATAGGCTGTTATTTAAATCCGGGCAACTTGGAATGAATGACGCGACGTATACGCGAGGGATCCGTGTGATATTATAAAAGCGGCCGATGAAAATCGAGAGATTCAGAGAGGGCTGGCTCTTCGTTCTATGCAACACATTGTACACTTTTTGTTACTATTTTTTTTTTTAAAAAAAACTCGTCTGATCTTAATATTGGCATCGCACGAAGGGAAAGAAATAAAGAGAGCGGGATATTTCAAGAAGTCATTTGCTTCCGTCTTGCGAGAGATGCTTTTTCTTCCCCTTACTCCTCGACTTCTTGTTCATCGCGGTGGATAATCTTTTGCAGAGATAAGATGGGAATTCGCATTCCGCACGGAGATATAGGGATTGGAAGAGGTAAATACACGGAAAGAAGAGCTGTTGAGGAAGGGATACTTGGACGGTCGAGGCAAGGCAGGACAGAGCAGATTGAAATAAAGGTTCTTCGATAGGGGAAGTATTGCCTGCCGGGGTATAATTCGGGGGCAGATAAATAAGACTGGTTTTGAGGTCAAGAACATGAGTTTGGTCGAGTGGACTATACTATACTACAAGAGAATTGAAATGGTGATGTGGCTAGAGGAGCGAATATATACGATGCTATTGTTAGGACATGAGATCGGAAACGTGCGTGAGAGTTGTGATGCGATATAACGTGATATAAATAGTGTATAGTAATTGTAGAGTGAGTAGAGCATATGAAACGTCAACTTCTTATGGGAATACTGAGAGAAATCCCAGTATTTATTTTAAAGAGGTAAAGGGGGGAGGGGGGGATTCTTGCCCCTCGATCAAACTACTGAAAACGGGTATGTAGTCATTAGCTCAATAGTTGCGTAGTTCTTTTAGGTTTTTAAGTGTATATACTCTTTATACAACAACTCCAATTCACTCTTCTAGGGGTGATTTGGGGTCAGATTGTTGACAGATTGTTGACATATTGTTCAATTAGTAGGCATCTGTGATACTGTAGACACGGCGTTCGAGAACCAGTAAGCTCTAGCTATATGAAACACGATCATCTCTCAATCACCTGTAGTCAACATCCTTTCCACAATAACATCACAAGTATTTCCCCCTCACGATGTAACTCAAGCCTGCAAGCTGGCCAGATAGTCTCAATCAATTAATCATCTACCATAACGACCGAGTAAGCACAAAAGTACCTGTAGCATACATAGAGCATAGGCGCAACTTATGGCTGTGGCATCTCAATTATTATATTCTCCACTGTCCATCCATCCATCGTCTCTGTCTGCTGGTCTGTTCCTTGCTATTCCTCCGTATCCTTGCTCACGGTACCTCGTATGTGACTTTGCGTCGGTCATTATCGTCGTTATTATCCATTATGCCAAGCTTCGTGTAAAACGCGTAAAACTTGAGGCGTGAAGTGGTACTCTCAAAATCTCCATCCGTCCATTCATACTGCTTCATCTGGCGCAATTTGTTTTTCTTGATTTTCCTTCCCCCTTTTCGCATGTAGAATTTTTGTTTCTTGATATAGTTCATTTTTCATAGTTAGGTTGCTACAACCCCCGAAACTCTTACTTAGGCGTACTCCTCCTTAACACGTCGGCCGTTCATGTCGTAGCTTCGGTGGCTCCGCACACTCCTCTGACGGCCCCATCTACGACCGGTGTGACTCTCACCGTTGCTACCGCGGATACCCAGACAGAAGAGTATCGTGGCGATCAGTAAGGCGGCCCAGCTACCCCAGGTAAAGCCGAAGGCCCATCGACCGAGGCTAGCATCACGGCCGCTCGCAATGAACGCATTACGCATCTTAACGAAGACAGCTGTCATCAGCGACACGGCGATGGTGTGGAAGAACAAGGCGACGAGAGCTCCTAGTCCTGCGATGGCTGAGCCTAAGCGTCCGCAGCATGCCACGAAGCCTGCGAAGAAGGCAAGTACGGAGAACACGAGCGCGATCAAGAAGAAGACCCAGCCGAACCGCCACATGTAGAAGTAGTAGGAGCTCGTAGTATCGCCACCATGGGCACCGGTCAGAGAAGAGGGCGCATTAGCCGGGTTTGCGGACCAGGCCCAACCCAGCGGAGGGGCAGGCCATGCGCCGCTACAGTCGGTGTTGCCTTCACCGCAGATGTAGAAGTAGGTCCACTGGGTGACGGAGCGGGCGCCCGTTATGCCGCCGGTCTGGGCCGAGAGGAAGTAGGTTTGTCTTAGGGGCGATGTATCGGTGACGGCTGATAGGATCACGAAGAACAGCATCACTAGGGAGCCGGCGAGGAAGATGAGGGAGAGAGGCGCGAGATATGCGTCTGGAGAGCTATTAGCGGTGTTGCAGAGCTAGAAAGTGGTTGCGGTAAGACTTACTTGAACGCGCCATCTTGGATACTATTGACCGGCCAGGCCTGATTGAAGTGCGTAGATGTTACTGGTGGTGTCAATAAAGATGGTTGACAAGGAGCTAAGGGTTGAAAATGTTAGACTTCAGGTCGCAAACTCAGAAAAAAAAATAAAAACATTGAAATTTACGTTTGGCGGAGACGGGCAAACTACATAAAGTACCCAGGGGCCAGGGCAGCTGGCAGGGTAAGGGGTAGGTAAAACTGTGTGCAGCACGTACCTGTTTTTTACACTTGTTAAGACACTGTTTCGTTTCCAGGAGAAACTAGAGCCAAGACACAATTTCTTAGATTAGGTTGTCTTAGATACGAATCCGGAAGAGGGTTTGAGATCAAAGGCGGTCGGGGCAGATGGTTTGAGGGAATAGGTATCGATACAACCCAGATAAACCCAGATAGGGATTAGTATTATCGTAAGATGGAGTAAGATTTTCGCAAAGTTGTTATCACGAACGAGAAAGGGGAGGAAGACGGAAACGAAATAAAATAAAATAAAATAAAATAGTTGAAGGTCTCTCTTCCGATTGAGAGTGTGTTGATCATCGAAAGAAAAGTCGTTAGAGGTTCGTCAAAGGGTGGGCACGAGCCAACGCCTAGTGGGGCAATATGACGACACTGACGAAGCTATTGGAAGAGCTCGTTACCTAAATTAGACTAGCTCTGCCGAATAGCCTGATAATAGTACCAAAGAAGCTACATCCGAGTCTCCCTTCCCGCAGACTGCTCTTCCCGGCAAGACCCTTTTCAACTTTATGATTGCCCATTTCGTATGTATTAGGTAATTAATATATGCATTAATTCGTATATAAATACTTATAGTACATAACTGCTGCACCGTTAGTTGAAATCAATACGTTAGGTACTTCCTTTATTATATGTACTACATGTTACAGGTCAGGCTTGACTGCAATCCACTTACAACATCTTTTAAAAAAGCCGCTCTACTCATACGTCATCTATATAGCTCATTCAAAGAAACCAAAAAGAGACGAAAAGACGAAGCTGGATCATCGTGATAGCATAATCCTGATGATCACCATGATGCCGAGTCGTCGTCATTCTCGCGAGGCTTAAAGATAGTGATAACGTGGTGCTACGCTTGCGGCGTGTCCTCCGAGGCATCCGACATCCGACATCCGAGTCTAGAACACCGTAGGTAATACGTATTCTACTTCTATTTCTTCTCGAAAAATCACCGTGGTGCTTATGTAAGTACCTACACTACGTATCGAGCTTCTATTGGTTAAGACATGGTAATACCGAAGTCCGTCAGTCAATTATATTAATGTCTTTTTGCTGACGACGCTTAATATATTCTCGTGGTTCTCCTATACACGGAATATCCATTTTCGTTAGAGTCGGAATTTAGACTGAAAGGCTAGCAGATTGGGCCTATCCGTATACCTTTTCAGGGGTGGGTTAGAATTTATTGTTCTATTTAATCGATTACTACTATTATTATACTTGCTAATCGATTACTACTATTATTATACTTGCAGGATATTATCACCTGGGATAGTGGTGATACTGATATAACTAGTATGCTGTGATGACTCTACCACTGTATGATAAGGCTTGAGTCTCTCAGCCACAGCCTGTGTATCACGGCTACCAATACCCCGTACGAACCATAACATCATTGCTGATAGTGAGAGTTCTCGAAACTTAGAAATTTATATAACTAGACAGTCGTTTATAAATCTTAACTGGACGCCTTGGTGAGACTTATAAGTTATAATATTTCCGAGTCTTGCGAACTTCCCTTTCCTTTCCATCTCATATGAGGCTACATGTATAAGCCAAATAAAGTCTACGATATAATAATCGTGCTCTTTCTAGCCCCTATTAATAAATATTGTTTATAGTTTAGTACGCACCTAACGCTATGAATGGCGGCTGTGTCAGACCCAGGATACAAATCAGCCGATCAACTCACCATATCACTTAGGCTGTTTTAAAAATTGGTATGCAACTTATCTTAAGGCTATCGAGATGAGCACAGGAACTAAATCCTACGCCAGCCCGGAGCGTGCGACATCCACAGATACGTAGTAAGAATGCAAACTAAGACGGGCTTTGATTTCGTTACACTATCCTCCTTTATTGATATCTCATATTGGCACAATGGCTGCTTAGGTACCTAATCGGAGTCTAAGGAGCTTCCTTTTGTTTACTCCTATGTTCTATTGTATCCAAATATCATAATCCAATTGTTCTAGAGATCTCCTTTTACATATAGTCGTCCCTATAGGCAACTAATAGAATACATGAGGTTTAAAGTCTACCCGTTTATAAATAATTTGGGCTCGCCACAATTAGACTTTAGGAGCTTTGAAGAATCACAAACCGTAAACCAAAAGAATTAAATATTGCGCTGCGAAACCCTAGGGATAAACTATAGAAATTTATAAGGTAAATTGTAGAGTGCCCGTATGAAGGGGGCCATACGGTGTAATCGTTTATTTCTAGCCCTATCGAATCGACCATTTCTTAGCACTTTCCCCCCTGAGCCTGTTGGCGAGACGATACTACATGTTCCTGAAGAAGTAATCATGTCTATCCCACTTGTTATTTTCTATTTATTGCTTCTAGCTTGGATCATCGTCGGGATCGCCTCTGGCATGTTCATTCTCTATGTACAAAGATGCTACGCCCAAGCACAACAACCCGACGAGTTGGATGAACATACTTTTCTGATCCAAGAATCAGGGCTACGAAGATCGGGCTATCTTTCCGATGATGAGCTGAGCTTTGATGGTTCTGATAATTACGACGAATCTCTAATGTCGGTTGAGATAGCGCCTGCCAACAGGTTTGAGTGGTATATGTATATTGTCTGACGAGCTCCATGCTCTGTTATATCACTACTCGGCTGCTAGCTGTTACGCGGGGTATAGCCGATATACCCATCACCGCTTAATGGCTCGACGCAAAGCTACGACGGAGGCCACGAGATCCCCTATACAAGCTTCGCTGGATGCTGGATGAAAACAACCTTCTGTTGACGGGAGGGGGGGTATAATAACAACCACTGTGGAGGATAGGGTCCGGATAAGAAGTACGAGACGAATCACGTTATAGCCTGGAACATTTACGTCTGACGAATAATATCTCTACATCACCACCACCACCACCTCTACCACCTCTACCACCTCTACCACCACTATCACCAAACTACCGCTACCGCTAGCACTACTATTCCTACTACTGATGCTGTTGCTGAAAAGCCTGTACAGCCCATGTTTATATTTATTTCAACCACCACAGGAGCAACCCATAAAAAAACAAACCCTAGAATAAGAGTTTAAAGGGCTTAGAAAGTGGCTGTATGGGCGGGGGGGGGGGGATTTTTTTATCCTTTATACGTTGATTTGGGGGTAGCCTGGACAATGGTCTATTATTTATATATCTGCTTCTGTGTTTAATTTTAAAGATTCTAACTAATTCTATGTCTTATCAAGAAAATCAAGTCTTGTTGATTGAGTTAGTGACTAAAATATCTGGCTGGATATTACCTTATAAGGGGTAAAACATTCTGGGATACGATAAGGATGGGGTAGTGATATATTTATGAGTTATAAGCAAGATACACGGTATCGTATTGCTTCCACGCTACGTGATGATATGTTAGTAAATTTACGCCTTCATAATTAGATGGGCCATTTTGCCACGGGGATGAAATCGTAGGTACAGATGATACTAGAAATAATATAAGCACCCCTGCAAGGCTGGTAGACCAGCCGCTATATCTACCGCTCTTTTAGAACTGGCAATAACCTCCCCTTTTAACTTGCAATGGTTGATACTTCATGCACAGCTATAGTAGCACCTCCTATAGTGAACTGTTTATTCCAGCATATCGCGGTATGGCCATATCGTCGACTGTTGCTGTACCTAGGCGTGTCTGCCTCTAATATATAAATTAATCTAGACTGGACGTGGCGATCACGAAATGAATATCGAAGACATGGAAACGACTCTATTACCCCCTAGAGAACTCTAAGTCCGAAATAGGGCAGTAACTACATATGTAATTGTGAGGGTATAAGTGGGTTAGGGGTAGCTACAGGGGTCTATCTACTATATAAGGGGCGCGCAGCGCCCTCGTAAGAGGATAGAAGGCCAGGCGTCACTAGTTCAATACTATCTACTACCTGATCTACCTAGGTATCCTAGGCACTCACTCTGTGTATGACAACCATCAAAGGGTATCTCTGACAGTAATACTGAGAGTATCCTTTGTTCTAGACGTCTCGTTGAGAATCCACGGGACAGCCGCTAGGTAGCAGGTCCATTCAAGGGGACATCCCCTCCTATTCTGAGATGAGCCATGGGTTAAAACAATCATCAGTATACTACGAGCTAGGCCCGTGCTTCCCAATCTGTGCAATTAGATGCCTGCCATATATACACTCGCTGAGATAATACATAATTGGATATGGTAAAGTAGGTTGTATATAAGCACTAAGCGAGGGTTAGCTGGAAACCTGGTTACTACTGAGCACTGTCTAAGCTATCATTGCTGTTTCATTTCTATAAATAGAAAATAAAAAGCTCGTAATTGGAGGTTTAGATGTCATTGAAAGAGAGCCTGGCTGATAGGTGCTGTCATTTCAAACTAACTAGAAAAGAGACCTTAACACTATCACCAAACATTATCAAGCCCCTTGGAGATGGATGAAACATTGTGACTACATTCTACAATTGATGATTCTCGGCATTTGTTAGAGCGTACAGTAGAAATTAGCCGGTTGCTGTCCTACTCAGCCCGGGTATAAGGTGGCAAAGGACTGCTGTGCCTGTGCCGAGGTCTTGTGACATGGTAATAGGTCAAATTCGCCGAAAAGCTCCTCGGGGAAGCTGACAGAAAACGATGCTCTCCGTATTAGGAACCAGCTGACTATGCTATGACCGTGTATTATTGCAATGGCTCTACTTGCTTTTTTTCAGGCACGAACTTTCGTATCCATGTAACATTTGACAGGAAGGCAGAGGGTCGGCGGGGTGTGCGTCGAGAGAGCGTTTTTCAAGCATAGCTAAAGTATCCCAACAGATATCGACATGGAAGCATCGGGGTATTTACCATTCAGCTAATCAGCCCTGAAGACGGGATTGGCAAGGTACGTTTCCTTGTTTTCTCGAGATCCTTTAGGCAGGTGTTCGACATGGTGGATACGGAGTCCGCTCCGTGGTGCTGGAGTTGAAATGCCCGACTAGAGCCGAGGATGGACGGCAATCTTGGCTGAAGATCTTACATGGGGTTGATTTGTAAAGAGAGCCCACGCCGGGCCGTCGCCTGGCTGGGCATAGGGCGCACACTCCTTCCTCATCCCGGCCGTTCAATGTTAGGATGCATAAACTTGATGTTGGGCCTGCTCACTTACATATGCCATTGTTGGACAATTAGTTGGACAGGTATACACCGTTACACGTAGTCTCGGCTCCTCTTCTCCCTCATCCATGGTTCGGTAGTGTCTGGTCCGAACGGAGCCGCACGAGATTACTAGTCTGCTGCGCATACACTACAGGAGATAGGTACGAT